CTGGTGGAAGGGCTGGAAGGCACATCCTGTGAGGAGGGGCTGAGGGCTCTGGGTCTGTCTGGGCTGGAGAGAAGGAGGCTCAGGGGTGACCTCATTGCTCTGTACAGCTCCCTGGGCAGGGGGCCTGGAGAGGGAAGATCTGATCTCTTCTCCCTGGGATCCAGTGACCAGAAGACATGGGAATGTGTGCCAGGGGAGGTTCCGACAAGATGTTAGGGAAGGTTAGGGAACATTTCTTTACCCATGCAGTGGCTAAACACTGAAACAGATTTCTTTAAGGGGTGGTAAATGCCTCAAGGCTGTTAGTATTTAGCAGACACTTGGACAGTGTACATAGTAATGTGCTTTAACTTTTGTTTGGCCCTTAATTGGTCAGGCAGTTGGACTAGATCACTGTTGTAAGTCTCTCCTAACTGAAACTCTTCTATTCTCTTCTCTTCTCTTCTATACTAAAGAGGAGCTGAGATTCCAGGAAATACTTGCCTAACACACTAATTCTTATCCTCATTTGATCCCGTACTTTGACAACTCCTGAATTTCAGCCCAAAATACTTAGACTGACTTGGAAAATTACTCTATTTCAACTGTACCATATGGTTTAGTGAAATCAATTTTCCCTGGCTTGCTTTTATTTCATTCAGAGCCAGTCAAAAGAATGAAGTGGCTTTTCTGTTTCTGGCAAAAAAAGGAAAATTCCAGTTAAAATTGAAGTAGAAAACAAGTATCTATAAATAATCTAAATAAAATAGATCTCATTTTGTCTATGTTGTGATTTTTAAAATATATGTTGATTTATATTATAAAAGCAATTATAACTCCATTACATTTTTCATTAACAAAGTGTATAAACCAAACACTTAATCACCAAAACCTGCTGCATATTGAGGGGCAGATTAAAAAAACCCAAAACCATATGTAGAAAAAAACCCCAAGTATTTGAATAACTATTACTCATTCTGGTGCAGATCAAAGTTTTTCTGAATTAATCATTAATATATAACACATACATAATTACAATATATGGAGTGATCTAAAAATATGTTATATTCCACTTTCCAAAATGAGTAATCCCTCAACAGTGACTGAGAGCAAGACTCATCAGTTTCTATGAGTTTCAATTGTCTCAACCCATTTCATGCATCCCCACTAGAAGAAGCAAAGGATTATTTACCTTGTTACTTGACTCCCCTGTTCTCAGATACCTTTTTAAATTGTGGTGTGGTCATTAGGCAATGTGCACAACAATAACAAAATTTTTTATATAAAGTGAGTCCACTGAACTCCTAATGTGCACTGTGCAGGTAAGCAATGACCCCTCTGTCTTCTCCCAAAGCACTGCATTAAGAGCACCACTGAATAGCTTTCTCATCCAAAATCCATATTCTAAATCATCAATGCCTTTTTCACGCACAGAGAAATGTGTGAATCCTACTCACATATAAATGCTTGCATTCACTTTGCCAAAAAGAGAATGTTTATCTTGACAATGGGCAAATCTTCCTAAGGAACTGAGTCATTCCCATGGGTCATTTAGTATCATACTCTTTCTTTTCTAAACCACAGAATTTTCCTCCCTACTTTCAAGGTATGTTTTTTCTCTTTCCTCATCTCCTCTTGAGGCTGCCTAGAAATCAGGCAACTACTGAAAAAAACAGCTAGGAAAATGTTGGAACAAGCTGTAGGAACACCAGTATTGGACTGTTTTAAGTAAAATGTTTATTTAGGGTTTATTTAAGGTGTTACTAGAACAAATTACTGTGTGTGAAGCAACTATGGGGGCAACTAGATTATGACATCTTGCCTTTAGGATTCTGATCTGATTATATATTTAAGTTCTATGCCAAGATAACTGCAACTTTTATTTTCTGCTATGGCTTAAGGGACTTTTTTTTCCATTCTGTAACCACTGCTACATGTCCATGAGGTGTGAAAGGCCATGGGCCTAAGTTTGGAGAGGTGATTATGAGGGATCCTTGTAGTGAAGAATCTCAAACTGTAAAATCCAGATCTATTTCCTCCAAAAAGATATGAGCAGGGAGAGCGGAAATTACCTTTCCTGTGACTATGAAATATTCATGAAGTGACAACCAAGAAGTAAGACAGCTTTTTGCCTCATATTTTCTCAGAGTGTATCCAGATAAGCTTTGGAAATTGAGCAGAGGCAATTCAAGATGCTGTGCTCCACGTGCTCACAGTTACCAAACTACAGCTAAGCAAGCAAAGTAACCACAGGTTTCTCAGCACTGAAGTTCACAGCCTGTTGTATTAATTTCAGGTGTCCTGTGTTTTGTTTTCCATATGTGACTCCAGATGAGTGCATTGAGAGGCCAACCCATGTCCTTTCAGGAAGGTTAATGCAACCAAGTGAATAGCAGATAGGAAACACAGATCCCATTTCAATCTCCCCTTACTGACAAACAGATTTGCCTCTTGGAAATACTTAAGAGTTTTGGACACCTTTTCTTCCCCTTTTCATGTTACTCTTATGCATCTTATTGTACAAAGAACACACCCTCTTTTATTTTTTAACTTTTACTTTGAACTGCATTCTTGGCCAGCAGGGCAGCAAGTAGTAATTGATTCCAGTCTAATTATGTTTTGATGGGATAATTTTATCAGTTCTGAATTTGCCACTTCTTGATTTCTTTGAATGCTTCATTGCCACTTTGTTATGAGACAGGGAGGATAGAGGTTTCTGTTCTGCTTTCTCTTTAAAAATTAGCTGTTTTGTATGCTCTATCATGTCTCCTCTTATTCACAGCCTTTGACAAATAAACAATCCCAGCCTTTTAAATCTATTTCCCTAACCAGATTTCTCATGTGCTTAAATATTTTCAGTGCCCTGTTCCGACCTCTGTCTAATGCTGCAATATCCTTTGTGGGAGGGAATGCTGGGTGAAGTAGTTGAATACTAAATAAGGCTCTGTCATCTATGTGTATTCCCCGCTGTAACACAAAGAGCAGAAGATGTTGTGTTTCAGAAATTTCATAAAAGGCCTAATGTCTCATAATAGCCTAGGCAGGAATAATATAGGGCTTATGGACTATTTATTAGAAAACTCTCCAATATGCCTTTATTTTGTGCAGCATCTGTATCTGAAAATGCCTTATGGGATAAATATGAGAAGAAAAGGTTTCTGAGGTAAATAATGGCAGTGAGATATAGCAACTAAGGATAGATCTGAAAGAGTATTTAGACCCACATATAGTATTTAGAATACATATAGTCCAAGAAAACTTTTGTTGCTTGTTACAATTTGCTATGTAACAGTTGGATTTTCCTATTATGTATTTGCTTTTACAATTATTATAAATTGTAACCACTTCTGTAGCTATAGTGCAAATTGTAATTGCTTTTATGGACAGTATAACTAAAATTGCGCATGAAGCAAAGCTATCACAAGATGTAAGCATGCTTGCAAAAGGTGTATCACAAGATATGACTGCTCTTGCAAAATGCCTAACCAATATAGCACAGGCAGAGAGCAAGATACCATAAAAGGAGAATACCAAGTCTAAAGTGGCGCCAGAAGACCAGCCTGGACTGTCTCCCTGATGGACCCTCAGAGACTGTAGCTGTGGACTTCTGCAATGCTGTGGCAACCTGAGGTGGAGCTGTGGTAAATGGACTCCGAGAAATGTGCAAAGTCAGTTGTGTAAGCAATGCAACTGCAACAGTATAAAAAACCACTTACTAAAGAATTGAGTGTGCCTCTGGCTGTTGCCACACACCCAGGGCTATCAATTTTGCTTTGTTGATCCATCCCTTGTTATCCCGTATTAAACTCTTAAAATTTTGAGGAGTTGGCTTTGTTTTTCACATTTCTGTAGTTCGCTAAATGAGTCTGTAATCTCAAAATATTTCAGCTGGGATGTGTGTTTGAAGCAAATTTCCTGTTTGCCCTTGTTTATTGCAATTTGGTTCTCAAGGCAGGGCACTGTCATCAAGCAGATAAGCAAAAAGGCAAGACAGTCAGTAATAAGTGTCCAACCTAGAGGTTCAGCGCAGGCAATACAAAAAGAAGCTCCTTCAGCGTGCATAATGCAGGCTTCAGGTCCCCTGCATCCCATGCATTGCAATGCAGACACTGGTCTGTTTTATTCTGCACCACTAGCTGGCTAATGCATTTAGGCAGCTGAGCCAAAGGCCTAAAACATCTTATAATTATGGTCAAATTTTCTTCCATAAGTCTCCCAGCACTGCCTCCACTAACAGGTGAAGAAATGTATTGTTGAGACAGCCCCTGTCAGGAGACTTTTCAGTGCTTAGTGGCTGTGTGCTGAAGGAGAAGAGATACCTAGGATGTGGTTTAATCTGAGCTTGCTTAGCAAAAAACTGGATTGCTGATGGAAAGGCCTCCTAGCATACAAGCAGAAGAGTGGTAATAACTTTGTGGAGCTCAAGAAGGGACAGGGACTTTTGGAAACAGAGAACACTTGACCTCCAAACACTGCCAGCAGGGAGAGCAGAGCCATATTATGACTGCATGTGTATCTGCAAGAAATTGTCCTTGTATTCACCTCCAAAAGCTGCGTCACACCCTCTCCCCACCCACACATCCTCAGCACAGAGATCTGGCTGTGCCCATTCGACACCTGGGGTTTATCTTTGAGGTACTGCCCAGAGCCTTCCTGCAGCAGCGTGCATTCATAGGAGGCAGTGACAAAAAATGGGGGGGAAAAACAGCAAAGTGGAATCATGCCTTTCATGAACTTTTCAAGTTCTTCTTACTTCAGACTGAGAA